GCAAATCGCACTCTCGCCTGCATTTCGCGCACTCGACACGCACGATCCCCGCAGAGGGTTGCGCGCGCAGCCGGCAAATCGCACTCTCGCCTGCATTTCGCGCACTCGACACGCACGATCTCCGCAGAGGGTTGCACTTTCGGTTGACGCTGTTCGTCCCACCCTCCGCCTTCAAGAGAGAATTTATAAAGTGGGGAAATGTTTTTTCATTAGGACATCTCCCGTGCTAGTTCACTTGCCTACTCATTGCATGCTTGCTTACTCATTGCATGCTTGCATACTCATCACTTGCATACTTACACTTGCATACTTCCACTTGCATACTTTGACAGCTTTCGCTCTTCCACTGACACAGGGCTACGTGTGTTTAAGTGTGGTGAAAGTGTCAATGTCTAAGTGTGTCTAAGTGTAAGTGTCCAAGTGTCAGTGTTCAAAGGATTTTCCGGAAGAACCCTTCGCAATGCTTTCGGGAAAAAAGTGGGACACTGGGGCGTTGGATGCGGCCATGCTTTGCACACAACATAAGGTTCCGGCAGCAGAACCAACAATAACAGAGCAAATGCTTTCATCATCAAAGAGGAAACAGCAGACGGCGTCAACGGCGTTGTGCACGCAGTGTTGGACAACTTGGCCTGATAGTTATTTTCCCATAGAAGAAATCAAGTTGAACACTGAATCAAATCTTCTGACGTTGCGTTGTTGGACCTGCGTGCTCAAAATCGAACATGCAGCCAGGTTTGCCAAATGTCAAAACTTGCGCTGCCGCCTCTGCCAGCGAGACACCTTGACCCTTTGCCATTTTCCTCCTCCATTGGCTCGTGAAATGTTGGCGACCCACTTGCGTGGGCGCCATAAACGCTCCGAAGACGGCAAGACCAAACCATGGATAGTTTGTACAGATTGTGCTTTTCCTTTGTGCTGGACTGGATGTGGAGAACGGACCTCTGCGCCGTCGCTTGGCCCGTTGACGAAGCCGCGTGTGTGGTTTTGTGCGAACTGTCAAGACAGACTGTACACCTGCCTCAGCTGCAACCGTGCATGGCCTCACGATCAGATCAGCGCTCGCGCACTAAAGGATTGCGTCGTAAACTCATTTGTTGCCATTTTGTGCTACACATGTGCCCTGCCACAAGCAGAGCTCCAGAAATGGGCGGGAAAGCCGTGCAGTTCGTGTGATCGGCGCAATTTGTCTTTGCGCAACTTTGAGCCAGTGGTTGCCAAAGAAATTAGCGAACAGAAACGCTTCAAGTGGGGTTGGAAGCCTCGAATCTGCTTCACTTGCAAAGGTGCTTCAGTGCCACCCGAACCGAAACACCAAAACATTGAGTGCCTACCAAAGACGTAGGCAGCTTTTGCGCGCACACGACATGTTAGTTTTGTCGGAAACAGCTCGGTCCTGGCAGGGTGCTCCTGCCGCCCCAATACGATTCGTGGCGCTTTGACTTTGCGTGTCAATATGCCTTCCTGAACCTGGGGAAACCTGAGCTCCAAGGATTGCAACCATGCAGCGTGGACGATCAGAGAAAGACCGCTCTGAAGTAGCCAGCTAGAAAAAATGAGCCATCTCCCTTGGTACTCTTTGAGGCCTACAAACACCACGGTAAACTTGTTTGATGGTCTACGACCGGAGAATGGATAAACATATTTGAGTTTCCAACCTGGAGGCGTCTCTTCCTGCAGTACCTGCGGCGGTTACTTCCACCGCGGAGATCGGGGACACGGGCAAGGCGTGGCAGGTCGTGGCATCCACCGATCGACACCGGAAATTGCCTGCTCATGTCGTCATTGGCGACGGTTATTTTCGTTGCTTCAACCGTAGCTGCATTGTTGCACTGGTAAGTGATGTGCCACCACTAAGGGTCCGGTATTTCCAGAAGGGTTCTAACCTGGAGGCGTCTCTTCCGGAAGTACCTGCGGCAGAGACTTCCAGCGCGGACATCGGCGACAAGAGCAAGGCGCACTGGCAAGTGATGTGCCATCACTCTAAGTCCTGCTACATGAAATTTGTTCAGTATTTATTGCAGTAATTTCCAGGTGGGTGGTGAACTAAGGTTTCAATCTCCCTGGCAATTCAGGCAGTCAAAGAAAACAAAATGAAAGAATTCGTATTTCACGCTCTTTTCCCCATCAAGATTTGCACGAGTCTACAAGGTTAAAGCGTCACGGAACGTGATGTAACGTGGTGCAGGTGATTCGGGCTATGCTGAAAAAAAGAGCATGTTTCACCCTGTAGATAGACGACGTGGTGAGTCGGTGCGCGCACTTTGAACGCAAAAGGAGTCCCGGTCTGCGACGTTCAAGTCCCTATCTCGAGGAGACATGCTTCTTTGCAAGCTTGTCCAGTCCCTTTTGAGCCCTCGTTGGGTCCTGTTAGGCCACGTTTACGCTGTTGCCGTTCCGGAACGTGATCTCTGCTTGTCTCTGCTCCTGCGGAGCCAAATAGCACTTCTAAAGCTATGTCAGGCAATATGGAAGGTTTACGACGTTCAAGTCCCTATCTCGCAGACGCGTCCTGTCGATAGGACCTCTAGGGCTCTGTTAGGTAATATCTTCACTCTATTCCAATCCCTTTGGATCCTTCGTTGGACCATGTTTGCGACGTTCAAGTACCTATCTCGGGGAAGCATACTTGAGATAATTACTTCTGGGGTTATGTTCGAGCATAGGGAAGCTATGCTCGTGAGATAATGTTACCGTTCCTGGACCTGACCTGCTTATCTCTGCTCCTGACCAGCCACGTACCCAGACGTTCAAGTCCCTATCTCGCAGACACGTCCTTTAGATAGTGACTTCTAGCGCTATGTGAGGCAATATCTTCACTCTATTCCACTTCCTTGGCTCGTGAGTCTGCTCCTGACCTTATCTTTCCTTATCTCTGCGCCGGACCAGCCACGTACCCGGACGTTCAAGTCCGTATCTCGCAGACACGTCCGTTAGATACGGACTTCTAGCGCACTT